GATCTCGGCTGCTCTCCCAGGACCACTGCCAGTTCAATGTGTCTTTCGTGGAGAAGGGCCACGTGCTCCAAGGGCACAGACTCACCTGCTGGGACTCCTGTGAGTTGCTTTGTAAGCAGGTTGGAGCGGACTCAATAATTCTTCTCTCATCCAGCCAGGCCGCAGGCTGGGAGCTGGAGCTGGACCTGTGGGAGCTCCAGCTAGGTGCCTGGCCGGCTCACTGACGGACTAGCCCAGCACACCCACAGCTGAGCATAGTCAGACACCTCAAAAACTGGTTAAGCCAGTTGGGCATTTGTTTTCTGGGACACGATGAACAGCCTTTGGGCCTGGATATGGAGGATTTTACTTGAAGTCCCCACCAGCCCTTAATTTTGTGTAGCATAGCTAGGTCTTGCTGTCTGTGAGCTCCCTGCTGCTCTCTGCTGGTGCTGTGTACCCAGGATGGCGTGCTTTCAAAAGTAAAAATACTCCACTTTTGACACATAGCTTATAGCTAACATATTTTACATTTATGTTAGCCACAGTCAAGGCTTTTATCACCTTTGATGCCATCTTTACCTAGTCCTGCATACAGTTTGCATTGATGTGTTTGGTTAAAGTGGTTTTTTTAAGATGCAAACCAGAGCAGAGAATTTCTGCTCTATGAATTTCACAGCACTAAAATCCTTTAGGAAGGATTTTTTGGGTTTTTTGTAATGTGGAAGCCACGTTCCCTGCTCAGTTCTGCAATGCTGATCGTTGACCAGGGTGTCCAGAGGTGTCAGGAGCTTAGTGCATGATGGGTCTGCATAGAAAACAGCCCCAGCAAAAAATGGGCTGTGTCCTCCTCACTGTGAGGACAAGCTGAGCCTCCTGCAAAAGCAGCTGGGGTTGAACTGAAGTCTTGGGCTACCTGCTGCCTTCTCAGGCTTTTGAGAAACATGTATTTCACTCCTGGTAAGATGGAGGGAACAGAAAGCAGGAAGAGGCTTTGGCCACTAATGCTTGGTCTTCCCATCAGCTAGCTTCTCAGCCCTTAGTTTGCTTGAGCCCCCTTTCTTCTTAGTGCTGTGCCTAAACCATACATAGGATGTGTTTTGAGGCCCTCATTTGAAAAAAAAATTTGTGAGGGAAAAGTATTACTTTTTATTTTCCTCATTTGAGCATAATATGGACAGTAAAGTATCAGTTGGCGTTTGTGAATCTACCAGAGAAGTCACTGCCTGAAGGGAGGAGAATGTAGGACATTTTGAGTCTGAATAGATGAGAAAGCTGCATTAGCTAGTGCAGTTTGTTTCTGATCAGTCTCTCAGGTTGCAAAAGGCTGTAATTGTATAGTAGTTCACTGCTACCTTATTTCTAAAATCCCTGCAGATGATTCCCACCAGACAGACTGCTTTGGTAAGCAGTTCATTTCAATGCCTTACAAAAGCTACAGCAGAGAGCAGGGCGAGGACAAAATGAAGCAGAAGTGATTTACTGAGCAAGCAATGTCATCACTCTGCTGCACATCGTGTCTTTGCAAGATAGAAAGTTGTTGATTGATCTTACCTTGCAGAACAAACAAGATTAAGTGGCAGAGGCACAAAAAGCAGTCCTGGCTCTCTGCATCCGAGGCACATTTGCAGGCGTACATTAGATATTTTTCTGTCTCCAGTTGCATGTGGTTGCTGGCAAGGCAGTGTTTTGGCATGCCACACATCTCCTAAACAGCTACTACCTGCTCGTGGCATTGGTTTGGGTAATTGAATCAGTTACTTCGAGCTTGCCATTGTCCTTATTTATCAAGCCTTCCCTTGTTGTATTATGCAAAAACGATAATTGATTTTTAGTGATAAAAATCTTATATTAGGCTGACTCACACTATATAAAGCAGTAGCTGGAGTCACTTCTAGTGTTATGGAACTAGAGGAAGTCACTGCTGTGAAATTACAGAAAAGAGAGAGAGAGAGAGTGTGTGTGTGAGTGTGTGTCTGTGTGTGTGGGGGGGGGGTGAGTGAGGGGGTGAGTGAGTGTGTGTGTGTGTGTGTGTGTGTGTGAGTGTGTGCGTGTGTGTGTGAGTGTGTGCGTGTGTGTGAGTGTGAGTGTGTGTGTGAGTGTGTGTGTGTGAGAGTGTGTGTGTGTGTCCTCTTCAAGGAGAGCTCTGCAGTAGTTGCTAAACTTTTTTTTCTCCCTCTCAGATGGGAGAAATTACATTGTTACCATCTCAACGACAGCAAAGTGAAACTCTGTAATCCTCACAGGGCAAATTCTCTTGGGCTCTGTTATCAACCCAGATTGAATCCCTGACTGTCCATACTCAGTAACTTACAGTTAAATCAACGTTTGCCTGTTGTGCAGAGAAGTGCAGTTCTCATCTGAGTTTGTGTTCCTGGCACAGAATTCTCTTTGGTTTTAAAACTTTAATAATAAATGATATTTTAGAAAAGTAATACTGCTTCTGTACAAGGGAGGGCATATTGCTTGGAGCTATTTGATTTCATAATTTAAAATTTCCCTTTTTTCCCCCATTTTAATGTCAGCAGTGACATTGCTAATGGGAGAATCAGTGTATCATTAAATATTCTGCCTGATCTTCCTCCACCCAGTTTTGCCACTACTTGAAACATAGGAGCAAGCAGCAACATGCCCTGGCTACCGTGAGGAGTTCACTGCCTCAGGAAGCGATCAGATCATATCTCTGTCAGGATCTCCTGTCTTCCTGGGAGTGAGAAATGCAACTCCTGAAAAAAAAAAAAAAAAAAAAAAAAGCATGTGTTAAATGCCAGAGAGAAGACACAGAACAAGTTCCACCTCATCTCAGGACTCCTACAGGCCTTGGCATACTCTGCTTAGTTAAAAGGGACGATCCCTGAAAGATGTGAGAAAAACACACTGAGAGCACATTTCTGGGAGGGAACAACCCTACACGGAGGGCTGCGTAGACGCTAAGAACACTGCACTGTCTTTTCTGTGGGCAGCAGTGGATGAATGTGAGAGAGCGCCGCAGATGTCTGACCTAAGCCTGGGAATATGTACTTTGCTTTGAGCAGTACTAATGGGAAACCCAGACTCAGCTAAACTCCTTCAGTACAACTGTACCATGGCAGGATGGTTTTTTGTTTTCACGCAGCACAAGAGGACTCATCGGGCAGTAGAGCCCATGAGCAAATACTACTGTACAAACAGCAGATAATAATAGTAGCTTGTTAGATGCTTACTGTTGCCTGAATTTCCTGATGGCACAGGTGTCAAAATGAGGTGGTGCAGGAGCCGGGGTGTAACACTTCTCCCCAGGCATGACCTGGCTGAAGGGCTCCATCTGTAACAGCACTGACAGAGCCTGAAGAGCACGAGCCAGCTTGGTTGTGGAGGGCATGCAATGGACAGGGAAGAGGAAGGTGCATTGCTCTCTAGCAGCAGGCAGATTTGACTGGGCATAGCAATGCTGCGATTTGGAAATCTGAATACTTTGGACAAAAAATATAAAAACTTATGTCAATGGTTCTTATGCTCGGCAGGCTTACTTGAACCATCTAGACTGACCAAGTGCCATAAGAACTGCCCTAGACTTCAATTTTTGAAGTTGCCTTGATGCTTTTAAAATACATTTTTTAAAGAATACTGACTTCACACGGCAAGGACAGGTAATAGAGAGTTTGTAAATTCAGATGAGCTGCTCCTTATTTCACACACTTTGCATAAGCAGTAGCTTGCATTGCTCCCATGTGTCTACGCGTCAGTTTTAGGTGGCTTAGTTTGCTCTCTGCTGTGCGATAGTCATGAAAGACACCAAGGCAGAGCAGGAACCAGAGGATTCGTGAGTAGGACAAGGTCACAAAGATGTTAGAGCAAAGTTGAGATGGATCTTGGTAGAGACACAGAGACATAAAATGTAGGCTTAAAGTAAGACTTATTCAACCCCAAAAGAGATTGGGTCTTTCTTTGCTCCTGTTTTTTTGAAATCTGCTTGTTTCGCCACATGTTTTGAAGGGCCAACAAGCTACAATGGTAGACAATGGTCAAGCATGTTCTTGCCCTGAAACAGTGATGCAATTCCTTCTGCGGAGCTCCTCACAGCTGAGACAGAAGACTTGGTTCCTTACATCAGCTGGATGTCTCTTGTTTTCTGAACCTGTCCCTCCTGTAATTGCACTGATTAATAATGTTGCAAATCTCTTCATGTTTCTCATTTACTTTTACCTTGTCTCTCACTTTGAGGAGGTGAGGATGAAACTGTAGAATCGTAGAATCACAGAATGGCCTAGGCTAGAAGGGACCTTAGAGATCATTTAAGCCAACCTCCCTGTCATGGGCAGGGACGTCACCTCTCGACTAGATCAGGCAACACGTGGGGACCGAACGGGAATCGAACCCACGACCTTGGTGTTACCAGCACCATGCTCAACCGACTGAGCTAACCGGCCCCCCAAGGTTGTGGCTCAGCTCATCTAGTGGATTTCTTTGTTAGCAATGACCTGTTAAAAAGCCTGAAGTCAGCATCTGCATCAAAACACCAGCCCTGACTAAGACCCCCGTCGAAATCTGTGTGCCCTACCTCGGTTTGTCTGTGGTCAGAGCTACTGAGGGTGTAACAAACACAGGGAGAGACAAAAGAAAATTCTAAAGAAATCAGAAGAGGAAATTGGTCCTGATTATGTTGATGACAGCTTTTTACTAACTCATTTCTTGTAGTGTCCCAGCCCTCAGCATCATAACTGCCTGTTTTCAGCTGAAGTAGATGTCTCCCATTGCCACTGAAAACTGAAGGGTCATTCCTTCAGGATCATAGTAATAAAATGAAAACAATTGATGTTACCATTCCAGACTTTCACCAGGAGATATACCTGCAGTCCAGTTTACAAATTTGAGTTCAGAATAACTTCCTAGAAGCCAGCAAAGTTGCTCCAGTTTTAAGGCTCTCTCAAGTTCATTATTTGAGCACATTTATGGCCTTTTTCTCATAATGATTTAAAATGATGTCATGTAGATTTCAAGTGTTTGCTCAACGTTCTTCCTTTTCTCTTTTTGTTTTAAAGTATATTCGGTGCTGTTCGAACTGGTGCTTATATGCTGTACATTTTGATGACCAAAGGCCTGAAGCAGTCAGTGTGTGACCAGAGTTTTTACATTGGACCTGTCAGCAAATTCTGGGCATATGCATTTGTGCTAAGCAAAGCACCCGAACTAGGTGAGTACCCTCTCTCTCTTTCTCAGTATGCACATTTAGAACAGAAATGTCTGCAGGAAGCACAAGAAAAGTCTCAGTGCTGTTGAAATCTCTTTTTAGTGTTAGAAAAACGAGTAAACAAAATATACCAAACTCTGCATGTTTTAGTCTCTAGAGATAATCTCTAAAGTCCAGCTTGGCTGAAGTTAGAGCAATGTGCAGTTGAACAAGACCATTCCCAGCCCCAGAGTAAACTGCAGTGATGATACACAGCAGGGCAGTCAAGATGTGAGAGCAATCTGGTCCATACTTCTTCCTTAGCTACTCGTAGGCAAATACAAGTAGTGTAATTGGCAATCATTCACCTCGTGGGTACAGAAGTGAAATCTGGGCTACAGTAGCTGCATCAGCAAGAAGCTTTGAGTCAGGTTATGCCTCTGTTCTGCAGTATTCATCCTTAAGTACGCATGTAGGTGTACAGTTACGAACAGTAACTTGCTTCCTTCCGAAACACTGAAAGCTGTGGCTGTCTGCTTTCTCCAAATAAAAACCAATTTCCTGTAATATCCCTAGCTTTTCCAGTAGTGATTCTTATAAAGCCCTGTGTCTCCAGCGTTTTCGTGTAAGGATATGTCTGATATACATGCCAAAGCCAACTGAATAGACCAGTCTGCATATGTTCTCGTCTCATGGCTTATTAGTGTAAGAAAGGATTGTTTTAATGGAAAGAAGGAGACAGTGATTTAGAAGCCCTCCAGCTTTCATTTTTGGAGGATACCCATACTAAATCTCAAAGGGCTGCAGCACTCACTGTGTTCAGGTGTACAGTAAAAGTAAGTCTTTACCTTCCATCAGAGAATTTGATTCAGCAAATTACACGACAGCGCTTCATCAGCATAAGAGCTGGAAAGAGGCAGACACCACTTGCCTTGCTGTGTCAGAATCTTTTCATTTCCTGCTGCAGAACCACAGAAATTTAATTATTAGAACTTGAAAATATCAGCTAGAACTGCACAGCAACAATAAATTGAACATGTGATTACTTATTAAAAAGTGAGTCAACATCTTGCAGCTAATGAAGTAAACAGCATTATGGCTTATTACAGACCTTGTGCAGATAGTGCACTTTTGGTTCCACCCATCACTAACATTCATGATTTGAATTTCCTGGGATGCATATATGTAGGAATAAGTCCCCAGATTCAATCTTAGGGATCTTTTTGGAAACACTGTGTCTATAACAACAAAAAATCAGTAGCATACGTATATACATACTCTCAGTGCAATCATGAGAAGCAAAAGGAAGAAAAAAGCAGGAAAGAGGAACAAAATTTACTTTTCTACAGCATGATAGCAACATGAATTTGCGGGAAAGGATATGGATTTTAACATAAACCAAACTTCTTGCTAAAAGTACTTTTCTATGGCAATTACATATCTTTCAGTATTGTAGATTGCATGAGTAGCTTAGAAGGCTCTATTGAGTTTAACTAGGTTCAGTTTGCAGGTGGACATTTGAATTGGATGACACTGTGCTGCTTCCTCTTGGAGAAGAAGCATTTCTGCTCTCTGACGAACTTCATTTCCCTTCTAGTACCAGTAACCAATGGAGGATCTCAGAGTTAGGGTGATATGCGTGCATCCACCTACCTCACCTAAGACTTTCATGGATTATGTTTGCAGCAAAGGGCTACCAAGTAAACCTGTGGAGTTTTCAAACGGGTTATCCACATGGGAAAATGTGGTGACGTTGGTTTTCCAAAGGTTATGTAATTAGGAGTCAAGCTGAATCTCAGATCAGACAGGCACTTAGACCTAGACCTGAGGTGGTTTTTCATGTTCCAAAATAGCATATACTCCAGCAACAGCAAAGGGAAGAGAGCACTGCAGTAATTATGGAATTGTTGAGTTTCTCATTTCCTCCCCCTGTCTTCTCCTTTCTTCTTTTTATTGTTACAGGTGATACAATATTCATTATTCTTAGGAAACAGAAGCTCATCTTCTTACACTGGTACCATCACATTACTGTGTTACTTTATTCTTGGTATTCCTACAAGGACATGGTGGCTGGCGGTGGCTGGTTCATGACCATGAACTACGGAGTACACGCCGTTATGTACTCTTACTATGCCTTGCGGGCTGCTGGCTTCCGAGTCTCGCGCAAGTTTGCCATGTTCATCACCTTGTCGCAGATCACTCAGATGTTGATCGGTTGCGTGATCAATTACCTGGTCTTCTCCTGGATGCAGCAGGGCCAGTGCCATTCCCACGTGCAGAACATCATCTGGTCCTCTCTCATGTACCTCAGCTACTTTGTGCTCTTCTGCCATTTTTTCTTTGAGGCCTATATCGGCAAAACCAGAAAAGAAAGGAAGGTTGACTAGTGGTAGAAACGAGAAGCTATAGCTCAGGGTCATCAAGAAAAACAAAATTACAAGAAAAGCAAATGGCACAAGGAAACACATATATGTATGGTGCAGCTAAAACTTGGCAGCTTAGGGAAAGTTAGCTTGGTTTAACCCAGTAAGTTTATGATCCTATCATGGTGAGGACTCACTGTATTCTACTCTATCTCAAAGGACTGCTGATGAAAGACAACTTCTTGTACCTGTCTGCTCTAGAAAAGAAAGGAGAAAAGAAAGAAGAGAAATAAGGAAAGAAAAAAAGAGAAGAAAAGAAAAGGCATACTCTTGAGGGATAAAAAAGTACATTAAATAAGCTGTGTGTTTCCCAAGCGTGGAGGAGAGACTTCTGTTTAAAAAAAAAAAAATTTCTAAATCCTTTCTAATGACTTTTCAGCATTAAACTTGAACAAAACAAAGCAGAGAGGTGACAAAAAAAAATCCATCTATGGTAACAGTAAGATTGCAAAATTAAAATCTTTTCCACAGAAGGTTGATACCTTTAGCCAAAATGAAACCCAAAAGGATGCTTCCTGCGTGGAGAGTGACTGCACTCCACACTGTGGTCATGAACAGAAAAGTGAAGAGATTTGATTTCTCCGCTTGTATACTCTGCCAGGGAGCAGATCTGGGATGCAGAGTTGCCTCCCTCAAGAGGTGGAAAGGAGCAGTACTTTTACAAGAGTTTAATGTGAAAAGATGCACTGTTGCAATACATATCTCAGAGAGTGCATTTTCCAAGTGCATTTTTCAGTTAAGGGCAAGGAATTTCTGCAGCAGGATAAGTCATAGAGGGTTAAATCAATCAATATTTGCTAAATTACCAGGGGCTAATGGCAGAGGGATGTTCAGGAAGGAGAAGGGGACAACTCCCCTCACATGATTTTTAGGACTTACCCGTTAATCTCAATTTAACGCGCAGCAACACTGAATTAAATGGGGGAAATCAGAAGAAATCCTAGTTAGCAAGAAAAGAGTGATATGTCTGCCCACTGTTTTCAGAACAGAGCCCTGTGGTACGATACGGATTCCATATTTTTGTGGACACAAGGATACCTGCCTGGGTGGGAAGAGGTGGCAGGACCGCACGACATTGGGTAACACTGTGCTTCTGCATCTGCCTGCTGGGCAGTGCAAAGATGTTCAAAGTGCCCTCCTCTGGTCATGTGGAGATATTACTACAAAACATACTTGGAATAGGTTTTTCTTGAAGTTTGTGTAGGAAAAAAAATTAGTCTAAACGGAGTAATTTTGCTGCAACAGCTTAACTCTAAAGTCCAGAGAGAACTACCCTTCATTAAATCTCTCTCTCTCTCTCTGAAGAATCTGTACTGTAACATCAGACTGACCACTTATGAAGACACTCTTCTCTAAAGTCAGCTACAGATATAAGGAGAAACATATTTCACTCTGAACCTTAGAGAGTTAGTTGAGAACAGCCATATTCTTTCAAAGACAAGTAGGTTGCATTATCTGTGATATTCCAGTCCTTACAAAGCCAAATAAAATGTGTAAAAGTTCCTAGTGTTTCAAAGACGCAAGTATGTAAACTTGATGTTAAATGTGTTAATGTAGTATTCTAAATTGTATCAGTTAGGTAGTTTTAACTAAACAATTAGAAGAACTAGATCAACAAAATAGGGACTGCTGTTCTGCATAGGATATACACACACGTATAACTACACCCATGTACACATTCTGTGAATTGTCAACAAGAAACAAAAAGCCCAGTGGCAGAGAATCACACTTCCTGGCTAATGCAAAAGATTGTCATTATCTTTCTTGCTTTAATTTGAGATTGTACAGTACAAAGGGTTCTTTTTTAAAAAAAATATGATTTTTAGCTTTAATTGTGCTGTCATTCATGAAACAGAGCTGCTTTAGTATCCTGTTAAGAGATGACAAGGGCTTTTGGTGTCTCATTATATACAAAAGAAAAACAAATAAAGTTACATTCCATGTTATGTGAATGGTCTTACAAATCAAAAAGCCTCTTCAGGTTAAAATCATAATTACAAGAAGCAGAAAATGAGTTTACATTTGTGTTATTTAAGTTATTGATGTGCTGAAGTTATTTTTATGGTACACAACAAATAGCAAAATGTGATATGCAGTAATGAAGCTATGATATTCATTAATAGGACTACTGTATACGTGGAAATATTAGACAAAACCAATTAAATGTGTAAACCATTTTGTTATACAGCTTGAGAATAGATAATTATAATGCTGAATAAGCCTTTTTCCTATGCTTAATTTTACCCTGGCTAAGAAGCAGGTTTAGAAGACTGGTTAAGAGTGGAAAAGGCAAAATTAAAGTCAACTGCAGTTAGGTAAGAAGCCTTTGTAGAAGCCCACCATCGTGCCATTTAGACCTTCAGTCCTGTGTGTCTTAGGGCTCTCAAATAAAGCCAAGAGGAGGGGGGGAGTGGTCCAGCATCTAGAGCTGAAGCTGGAGCAGAAATCTTGGACCCTGTGAAGTCAGGGGAGGCTTTGCTCTGCTTTGAACAGAGCCGGTGTGTCTGGCTGCCTTTTATCTGAGCAGAGGGGAAGGGACTGCACACATCTCCTTCTAATTTGAGGTCTATGGGTAATGACTTAAAAGCCCGTAAACTTTATCAAAAAGAAGTAACACCACAGCAAGGCAAGGACTCAGGCAGAAAACAGGGTGGGTTGCAAACAACCTACTGTGTTCCGTACGCTGTTTCCCTTAATTGCACAAGAGAAAAATACACCCACACCTGTTTGTGCCGGCTGGCAGTGCTGGCAATGCCGGCGCTGACTTCAGCCAAGCAGAAAATACCGCCTGTGCTCTGTCCTCCCAAATCCCTTGAGGGTACCTCTGCACCGTCCCTGGCACGTGCTCCCCAATGTACCTACCGCCCTGCCAGGCTGGGGCCGGGCAAGTGAAGGCCACCTTCCCTTCCGTGCTGCCTGGAAAGCGGCTCCAGTGCAGAAACCAGCCTGGGAAACCTCCTCCGAACGCAGTGCGGACATACCCCTGGGGGCAGGGGCAGCCAGGCATTGAGATCAGTTTGAGTCATGGCCAGCGACTAGGCTGCAGGCAAGCGGATGTGT